CACACTGGTTTACCTCTTATTCAATCATCTCCTGTATGTGTTTGTTTAATTTAATGCTCTTTCCTGTGTGTGCGAGTGTGTGTGTGTGTGTGAGTGTGTGTGTGTGTGTGTGTGTGAGTGTGTGTGTGTGTGTGTGTGTGTGTGTGTGTGTGTGTGTGTGTGTGTGTGTGTGTGTGTGTGTGTGTGTGGTAACACTGATGAATGCTTCTCATCATTTACATAGAAACAACTTTAAAACAGAGTTGGGTCTACAGCTCTGTGATTGGTCCGTCTCAATGTCAATCAGACGACCTCTGTAATGTCTTTATGTAATCTGTCCATGTAAAGACACACTAAAGACACACTAAAGACACACTAAAGACACACTAAAGACACACTAAAGACACACTTCCTACAGACCCTCTGAGACTTTAGACACTTGGTCAGGATCACAAGGACTTGGTACGGTCCGAGGATCTGAAGACACGTCCCGGACCTCAGACCGTACCAACTACCAACACCTGCTATTCATCACCTCTGTTAGGGGAGATATTAAACAAGACTTCACACACACACACACACACACACACACACACACACACACACACACACACACACACACACACACACACACACACACACACACACACACACACACACACACACACACACACACACACACACACACACACACACACACGTTAAACAGGAGAATCAGCTGATGATTATCTGAGCAGCGAACCAGAACACTGACTGATGGAAAAACAGAAACAATAATCACTTACTCTGTGTTTGGATTAACTGTGTGTGTGTGTGTGTGTTTGTGTGTTTGCGTGTACCTTGGGCAGTCTCTCGGGGTCTCCAGGGTGACGGGGGATGACCTTTTGTAACCTCTGGAAGCCGTAGTCGATGGTCGGCTCGTTCAGAGCTGCAGGAGTCACATGATCAGCTCGTTAACATCATCCAATTAACATCGTTCATTCATCAGCTGGACAATAACAGAAGGAGACGCTCTGATTGGTCAATAACAGACAGAATGAAACGCTCTGATTGGTTCTTACTTCAAAATAAAACGTGATGATTAACTTACATGTATGCATCAGTCAGTGTGTCTGCTCTCTGATTGGTCGACTCTCCTCCAACATCATTTACACTTTAAACAGGAGCTGATAAATCAGAACGTCAGTGAACGCATCGGGGCAGGGCCCGCCCGAGTGTGTGTGAGAGTGTGTGTGTGTGTGTGTGTGTATGTGTGTGTGTGTGTGTGTGTGTGTGTGTGTGTGTGTGTGTGTGTGTGTGTGTGTGTGTGTGTGTGTGTGTGTGTGTGTGTGTGTGTGTGTGTGTGTGTGTGTGTGTGTGACTGTGTGTGAGAGAGAGAGTGTGTGAATCATAATCCCGTCTTGGTTCAGCTGCGTTTAACAAGCTTTAGACTGACTCTGCTATACATCACAAACAGTGTGTGTGTGAGGAGTGTGTGTGTGTGTGTGTGTGTGTGTGTGTGTGTGTGTGTATGTGACTGTGTGTGTGTGACTGTGTGTGTGTGTGTGTGTGTTCAGTCCTTGAAGGCTCACAGGGCGTAACGAGCAGCATTTATAAGAGTGTGTTAGCTCTCCAGATGTCTATGTTATCTGCAGCCTGTTGTGCGTGTGTGTGTGTGTGTGTGTGTGTGTGTGTGTGTGTGTGTGTGTGTGTGTGTGTGTGTGTGTGTGTGACCTTGTGTTGTTGACAGCGTGTTATTATCAGTGTGTGTGTCTGTTTAACAGACTGTCTGTCTTCTCTTTTGTTAACGTACTTTATGGATCACACCTGAACTCACCGTCTCTCATCACACACTGACTTTAACACACTATAATAAACCTTATATTAATATTATATCATATATATTATGTTATATAAATGCACACACACACTCCGCTGATTAAAGTACAGATTTAGGAAGTCCTCAGGTGGTAGAGACAGGAAGTGAGGAACAGGAAGTGAGGAACAGGAAGTCCTCAGGTGGGAGAGACAGGAAGTGAGGAACAGGAAGTGAGGAACAGGAAGTCCTCAGGTGGGAGAGACAGGAAGTGAGGAACAGGAAGTGAGGAACAGGAAGTCCTCAGGTGTGTGTACCTGTGTAGACGAAGCGTCCCGGCGCTCCCTTGCAGAACTGTTTGGACTTGTAGGACAGCGTGACCTCCACGACCCCTGGGATGTGGCGGGGGGGCGTCTGCACCCGGATAGCATGGGGGGTGATGAGCTGGGGGGGGGGGGGGGAGACAGGGAGACAGGGTCATGTGACTGGAGTTTATTAAACCTCTAATCTCCTCCAGGTGAGAGGGAACCACTTCATCCCCTGACTGCATCGCTATCGTGCTAACGCTATCGTGCTAACGCTATCGTGCTAACGCTATCGTGCTACCGTGCTAATGCTATCGTGCTATCTTTATTTTATTTATTCATTTGTTTAACAGGGACATTAATTAACATTCCTGTAAAAGTGCCAGAGCTATTTTTCATCTGTAGTCCCTCAACAGAAACACATTTCATTTTAAACAAGGAAATACAATCAAATAAAAACATGCAACAGACATTACTGGAATACTTAAACCAACAAATGAAAAGACAGAACAATAAAACAAACCAAAGAAAAGAACACGTTGAACACAGACAGTGGGTTGTGTCCCTCACCAGGTTCAGAGTTCAATAGACTGAACTCTGCTCTCTGATTGGAGGATTGAGTTCCTTTGTGCAGCAGCTTTCACAGGAAATAACGACTGACTGAAGGAACATTCTGAGGGCAGTGATGTGAATAAACGGATTTGTTGTCCAGTATTTTGAGTGTTTGTTTGTACAATGACTCCAGTGGTTTTAATGTTGTTGTACTGGCATGTGACCATGTCGTTAAGCAGTAGGTGATGTGTGAGAGAACCATATACTGTAGAGTGTGTGTTCATCAGAGATGCCTCACATGACCATGATGGTGAACCTAACATTTGACAGACTGAATTTGACCCTATTACATACTTTTTTAACCTGAGCCTTGAAATTGAGTGTTGAATCAATCATGACTCCAAGGCACTTGTATTGTGACACCACCTGTAGCCTCTCCCCTGATACAAAAACATCTGGCTCAACACAAGAGGACTTTGTTTTGGTGAAGAAGATGCATACTGTTTTACAAATATTTAGTTGCAAACAGCATTGTTCCAACCAAGCTGTTCCATGAACCATGGTGTTTGTCAGGTCATTAGCCACTTGTGTCATATTGCTTCCATGTACATATATAACAGTGTCATCTGCACACATTTGGATGTTTGTGTCAGGACATACAGATGGTCAATCATTGATATAGAGCGAAAATAGTAATGGTCCCAGGATTGAACCTTGTGGGACACCTGTCGAAAGACGAAGGTCAGCAGATTCATCATTTTTAACTCTCACATACTGAGATCGGTTACCGCCGTCTACACAGCAGCGTTAAAAAAATCTTGGAACGCTTCTGCCCATTCACTTTGAATGGGGTGACGTCACTTTCCCTTACTTTTCGCCGAACTGCATTGTGGGAAGCAGAGCGGAGATTTCCAGGATTTTCAGGATTCAAAAGTTGAGCAATGTTCAACTTTTGAAGCTGAGGTGGAAGCGTCAGCCAATCAAATCTGTGTATGCAAATCTGACAGTTCAAGCTCTAGCCAATCAAACGGCGTGTATGCTGGGAGAGACATACCGTAGGTCATTTCCTCATATTCCAAAACATGGAGGAGAAATGAGCGGTAGGGAATCACCCGGTGCTTTATGACCAGTCCCTATTTACCTACCGGGATACAAACCAGAGGAGCCAGGCATGGAGGGAGGTGGCAGAGACAGTGGTAGCTTTTCTCCTGTTTGGGGAGTTTATATCCAGTTTACTTCGGGCTTTTTTGCTTTGCATGTCGGGGGCGGGAGATTCATGTGATTGGTTGTTGGTCGCGTTGCTCGCAAAAAATCGGGTTGCTGTGTGGACGCTCCGTTAAACAAATAAGATTCTATCCATTTAAGTGTTTGTGAAGAAAAGTTAAAACTGCAAAGCTTAGATATGAGTATTTTATGATTAACAGTGTCTTTTTTAGGTCAAGAAACACACCTTTATCCATTTTTGATTTGATTTGTTCTGTGAAAAAACAGTTGGCGGTCTCTGTTGAGTATTTTGCCCTAAAGCCAAATTGCATTGGATGCAGAGATAATGTACTAGTATTTAAATGGTCAATGATTTGCTCAGACACAAGTTTCTCAGCAACCTTTGACACTGTAGGAAGGAGTGGTCTGTAGTTACAGGAAGACATGGGGTCTCCACTTTTCAATATTGGGATAACTTTAGCCGGCTTCCAAACATTCCCTGACGGAAGGAGAGGTTCATCCTTTTGGCAATAGGATAAGAAAGTGTAACCATGTCCATGCCAAATATATCGTGTTAAAGCTATTGTGCTAACGCCATCGTGCTAACAGTAGCGTGCTATCATGCTAACGTACTGTGGTGGGAATTTATTTATCAAATGTGGATAGAGAATCAAACCGTTCAGACCACACCAGCATGCTAAGCTAACGTGCTAACGTACCTCGCTCCACACCAGCATGCTAAGCTAACGTGCTAACGTACCTCGCTCCACACCTTCATGCTAAGCTAACGTGCTAACGTACCTCGCTCCACACCAGCATGCTAAGCTAACGTGCTAACATACCTCGCTCCACACCAGCATGCTAAGCTAACGTGCTAACGTACCTCGCTCCACACCAGCATGGTGCCGAACACCACCTGCAGCCCGTCGAAGAAGTTGTCCCCGATCAGAATCACTGTGGCTCCTCCCGTCGTCCAGCCTTCAGACGGGCTGATCGCCTTAATGCAGGGGGTGGCTGCTGGGGGGGGGGGCAGGTGAGATGGGGGACAGGTGAGAGGGGGGGGGGGATAGGTGAGAGGGGGGGACAGGTGAGGGGGGGGGACAGGTGAGGGGAGAAAGGTAAATATAAATGTTAACGTCCTGTTCTCTGTAACCTCTGAGGACCCT